ATTTAAATTAAAGTCTTTTATTGTGTGAGGGATATAACAAAAATATTTGTCTGGCACATCCCACCTCAGTAGTCAATGGTTCTCTCATCCCATTGTTGACATATCCCATTGTAATTCTCTCTTCACATCCCAAAAACACATGCACACTCACACACAGTCACAGGACTCACTAATACTTAACTCTCTTTTTAATCTTGACCTTAACAGTTATAGTTGGAAATCCATTTAATAAACAAATCTCAGTCAAGGCTGATGATAGCCAGGCTATTACGCTCCCTCTGAGGTATTCACACTGAGCAAAACAAAACATCTCTTCCACCTCAATAAAACAAAACACACTTTGTATATGCCAAAAACTGGACTCTGCATTGCTACAATAGTAGACATACCAATAGGTTAGGCCAGCAGCAGGAGAGGATATTTTTGGAAAATCATTCTTCTTTAAAAATGTACTGTTGAATTACAAGAGTCTACAGGCTCTGGTATTCAAATAACTGCTTGGTGAGCTGCCAATCACCCGAACCCTGACCCATTCCCTTTCTGAGTTGTCTATAGTAAGAGTCACTGAGCATTTGAACTTCCTGGGAGCCTGGGGTAGGTGGGAAGAGAGCACCTCAGATCTTGTTATCTTGCAGCCTTCTAACATTGTTACTCTTCTCTGGGAATAAAAGGGGGCAAAAACTGGTCTCCTTTCACTAATCTCTTTTCTGTTCTCTTTTAGCACTCAGCGACAACAGACTTTTCTTCTGTATTTTCATCTTCCTATCTGTCAACAATAGCTTGATATGGGAATGACTTTTGGACAAATCATGAGAAGTTAACTCCAGTATTTATATGGCATCCAGTGGTACCACTACAGATAGAGAAAGCATGTTTGGAAGCGTTTAAGAACTATAACAAATGGAAAAATATGATAGAGTGATGACATTATTTTATGGAGTCTCAACTGCATCTTCTAAATCATTCCCAAAGATGTATGTCAGACTGTGACCAGAATACTAACTATTATTTGGGGAAACTGGAATCTTCAAGATTTATTATCTTTCATATTTTATCACAAAGTCTAAAAGCTCATTATAAAAATTTAAAAATAACCATCTGCTCGGATCCTAAAATTATATTAGATCCAAGACTCTCCTATAATATTGGAATCATCATGTGCTTTGGGTACCCAGAATGAATGCTCTTCCTTATTACCTTGAAATATTCATTATTTTTGTCCTATCCAGTTTGGCTCAGTGGATAGAGTATTGGCCTGTGGACCAAAGCATCCTGGGTTTAATTCTGGTCAAGGATATATACCTGGGTTGCAGGCTCCTCCCTGGACTGGGCCTTAACCAATTATTTTGTTTCTCTTACATTGATGTTTCTCTCTGTCTTTCTTCCTCTCTTCCACTCTCACTAAAAGTCAATGGAAAAATATCCTCAGACAAGGATTAACAAAAAAACTATTCATTAATTTCTAATCTTAAAAATAAATATAATTCAAGAGAATGAGAAGATACACGACAGGCTGGGAGAAAAATATTTGCAAGAGACACATCTAACAAAGGACTGTTATGCAAAACATATAAAAAGAACTCTTAAAACAATATTAAGAAAACAAAAAATTTGATTTAAAAAGTGGGGCCAAATCTTTACCAGGCCTCAGGAAAGGGCAATTGGGGGAGACCCAAGTCTGCAGTGGAGAGTAGTTAAGGGGCACCAGGCCTGCAGGGGAGGGCAGTTAGAACTGACCAGATTTGCAAGGGACAGCAGTTAGGGGCAAAGAGGCTGGGAGGGGAGCAGTTAGGCATATAACCAAGGAAGATATACAGATATCAAATAAGCATATAAATATGTGCTTCATATCACATGTAACCAGAGAAATGGAAATTAAAACAACAATGAGATATTGCTACAGAATGACCAAAAGCTGGAACACTGACACCAATCACAGAGGACAATGGGGAGCAACGATATTCACTGCTGGTGGGAATGCAAACGGTATTCATTGCTGGTGGGAATACAACTATTTTGGAAGATAGTTTGGTGGTTTCTTGCAAAACTAAACATACTTTTACCATACAATCCATCAATTGTGTTCTTTGGTATATAATAAAGTAGTGTAAAAATCATGATGGCATAGAAATGTGCACATGAATGTTTATGGTAGCTTTATGCATAGTTGCCAAAACTTGGAAGCCACCAAGATGTCCTTCAGTAGGTGAATGTGGTACATGCATACAATGGAATAGTATTCAGTGCTAAAATAAAAAATTGAGCTATCAAGCCATGAAAAGACTTGGAGGAAACCTAAATGCATATTACTAAATGAAAGAAGGTAATCTGAAAAGGCTATATACTGTATGATCCTATTTAATAAAAGAGTAATATGCAGATTGACCATCACTCCAATACACAAGATGGCTGGCCCCATGTAGCGAAAGATCCTGCCCCTATGTGGACACAAGAGGGACACCACAAGATGGCCAGCAGGGAAGGGCAATTGGGAGGGACCAGGCCTGTAAGAGAGGGCAGTTGGGGGCAATCAAGCTTGCAGGGGAGGGCAGTTAGGGGTGACTGGTCAGCATAAGAGGGAAGTTGGAGGTAACCAGGCCTCAGGAAAAGGCAATTGGGGGAGACCCAGGCCTGCAGTGGAGAGTAGTTAGGGGGCACCAGGCCTGCAGGGGAGGGCAGTTAGAGGTGACCAGGTCTGCAGGGGATAGCAGTTAGGGGCAAACAGGCTGGGAGGGGAGCAGTTAGGCATCAATCAGGCTGTCAGGAGGGTGGTTAGGGGGTGATCAGGTTGACAGGCAGAAACAGTTAGGGGCAATCAGGAAAGTAGTCAGGCGAGAAGTTAGGAGCCAGCAGTCCTGGATTGTGAGAGGGATGTCCCAGATTGGAGGGTGCAGGATGGGCTGAGGGGCACCCCCCCCCCTCCTGTGCATGAATTTCATGCACCAGGCCTCTAGTTTTAATATAACATTCCAAAACAGCAAATCTATAGAAATTGTAAAAGGAGCTCAGTATTTTCCAGGGGTTGGGTGTGGGAGGACAGGGATGAATAGGTGAAGTACAAAAGATATTTAGGGCAGTGAAATGACTGTGTATGATACTATAATGACGGGTACATATTATTACACATTTGTCAAAATGCACAACACCAAGAATGAACCCTAAAATAAAGCTATGGACTTTGGATAATTATGATGTGTCAATGTAGGTTTTCCAGTTGTACCAAATGCACATTCTGGTATGTGATGTTGATAATGAGGGAGAATATGCATGTGTGTGGGGAGGATGGAGGGTGTATACAGTAAATCTCTGTACCTCTCTCTTTTTTGCTGTTAAGCTGAAACTGCTCTAAAAAATAGTCTTTGAACAAAGTCACAAGCACAGTTTTAACATCATAAAATATTGTTTTTATAAACGTATGTCTATGACAGAAATAAGGTTTTCTTTGGAATGTGAGGTTGTTTGGTCTCTGGTTCATGTCATTAGGTTCTGCCAAAGCTATTGGTAAAACGATGTGAGAACCAGTTACCTTTAATTACTTTTAATGTTCCAAGACTGCACCCTAACTATACCCAGCCTTCTTCGGCAAAGAAGATATATTTAGTTTTGAAAGAATTAGGCAACGTTGAATATGGATATATATATATATATATATATATATATATATATATATATATATATATATATATATGGTATATGGAGAGAGAGAGAGAGAGAGAGAGAGAGAGAGAGAGAGAGAGAGAGAGAGAGAGAGAGAAAGAGAGATAGTTATAGGAGGGAGAGGGATGGTGCTATTGTCCCAGTATCAAATAGGCACTTGTTTCTGAATAGTGGGAAATGGACCTGCACTGAGCTATCCATATACCTTTGTTGGTCCAAGGATCCCAGGAACCAACCACCTGCAGGACTGGCAAGGACCCAAGAAACCAAGGGGAACTCTTTCCTTCATCAATTACTCTGGTTTTTATGAGTATGCTATAAACTACAATACCTCTGAAATAGGAAGGTGGTAAAGATATTAATAGTCTTGCAGAGATTATTAATTGCTTATAAATCTTTTTAAGTTTTATAGGCATTACTTTACTATTATACATATGCATATTTGATGGTTATCATTACAAATTTCTATTTTTTATAGGTAATTTGTTGTCACGGTGTTTGTTGAAATATTTGTTCATCTCTTTTATGTGATAAAATCTTCATTATTTGATCTAATTAGCCAACTTTGAAATATGTAGAATGATCCTACATATCAATTTTGTCATAAAAATCTTCTTTGTGCCAGACTCTGTGCTTCAACATCAGGGGTATTAAAGCAAAATACAGTCCCTATTCTTAAAGTATTTATATCTCATACATGGTTTACCCATTGTGCTATATGTATTTGAATGTTTTTAGCAATCCAGAAGGAATTTTTAGATTTTTAAAAAATGCTAAATTATCATCTCTATTGATTATTGATATAGTAGTGCTAATGCCAATAAGTTAAGAGTTATTATTAATGGAATTTGGGGGGGGAAAGGTTCTGTATTCACCTAAAATTCTTGAAAACATTCTTTTTAAAAAAAATATATATTTTATTGATTTTTTAAGAGAGGAAGGGAGAGAGATAGAGAGCTAGAAATGTCGATGAGAGAGAATCATCCACCAGCTGCCTCTTGCACACCCCTTACCGGGGATGTTCCCGCATCCAACGTACATGCCCTTGACCGGAATCAAACCTGGGACCTTTAAGCCCGCAGAACGACGCCCTAGCACTGAGCCAAACCGGTCTCGGCTTGAAAACATTCTTGAATCAGCTTTTTATTTAAAGAATATTTTTTTCAGTAGGATCCCACTTGTCAAAAAATGCTTTCTACTTTGAAATTTAATAATTTTGAGTTGTGTAGCAAGATTAAATTATCATGGAAATAATGAGTATTCTATTTGTTCCAATTAGAAATCCTCTAAACTTAGGGCAGTCTTGGCCACCCCCTTTTTACTTTATTAAACAGACTACTCACCCAAGAAAAAAGTGATCTTTTCAGATGAGATATTCCATACTTTATTTCCAGGCACTGGAGTCTGAGCCATACACCATATGGTCAGGTTGTTTGATTGGGCTGGTTCATTGCCATACACCCTTGTGAAAACAGACTTCACGTTCAAAAATCCACTTTTGTCTCTTCTCTCTTCATTTGTAATGTATATTTCTACAAGAGGAATAAGAACAAGGTTAGTCACTAACATTGCCAGCATGAGCCATACAGTGATGCCAAGGCCTGGCTAGAGACATTTTGGTTTATGGTAAAGGAGAGTCTAAAGGTGTCTAATGGCAGTATCTGGGCAGTGAGGGTATGTTCCAGCAGGTGCAGAATTAACTGCAACTGTTTGCTGAGGCTGCTGCAATGCATTGGTCCATGGTCCAGATGTGAAATGTATTGATGAAGAGGATTGTTTGGTTTGTAAGCAGGGCCCAGGGGAATTCCAGGGCTCTGCTATGGAATCTGGATACACAGCAGGAATATGCCTAAGTGATCAGGAAACTATAAAATGACTTACGCTGAGACTCTGAGATGCTCTGTGCCACCTCAGTGGTTCCCCTTCCCCAGTTCCCCTTATGGGCCCCTTGTTGCAAATGTACATGTGATGCATATCTTTACTTTAATGGTGATGCTTATTGTGTCCTTTTCCTGCAATAAGCTGCAGGTTTATAGCAGCCACTGTCATGTTGGGTCCTGTGAGTCTTCTTTAGAAATAGCACCCTGTTTAACTGCCTTTGTTGGTCCAACTTGCAAACAGCACACATGGCAGCAGGAATTTAATGTAAAACTGTCATCATAGGCCATAACTTTCTGAATTCTCACAGCATCTTTACATTAAAGGCTCTACATGCTAGTTCTGAAGTTATTACAAACTCATCACCAAATGTAGTTATATGCTAGTGGAACTCTGACCACATCATCCGGCCTTATGGTTGGGAGTGTCATTATAACTGCACAGGAACTTCATTTCTCTAATATAATTTTCTCTTTAATCCAAGCTAGCCTTGTCCAACCTAATGTTGCTATGACTCACTTGTCTCCTTTCAACCAGATCCTTTTACCTGTGCACATACCGCACGTCCACTCTTTAATCATTAAGCCCTTAGGATGTTAGGTTCTGGCCATCATCAGACTTCTGTCTCAAGAACAAAGCCTCAAGTCTGTCAACTATAAGAGCACGGTTTCTGCCAAACTAAAGATAACATCTTGACCTCAGTTATGTTTCAGCCCCAGGCCCATGAAAGCGGAACAATCCTACACTACCAACCACATCCTCATGAAATCAGACAGGATGACGCCATGGCCAACATCGGGACCTGACACAATGATCAACTCCTCCCTTTGCTTTGGCTCTGAGGAATCAGTAGAGCCCAGGACCCCAACTCCCTTAGCCATCTTGACTAATAACTACCCCCACCCCATATAATTAATCTATCATCCAGAGGCCATTGGAGAGCCAGGTCTCAGAGTACTGGCTCACCTATGCCTCTGAGTTTGGTGCCAGTTCCCTAAATAAACCTTCACTGTACTTTCTTTGCTGCAAACTGTCATTCACATTTTATTGGGCTTTGTTGAGTGTAGGCAAACCAACCCCTTTAGTTTGAAGTAACACAATGGACACATCAAACAGGGCTTATTTAACAGAAGAACATATCTATAATGACATTTAACAGATATTATCAGAATTGCATCCTGTCATGGTGGGTGAACTGTTTTTAAGGGAAACTAGTAACAAAACCAATAGTAGTTTCAAAATGAATCAAGTGCATTAACCCAATGATTGATGATCACCAACTTTTAAGTTCGTTATTTAAAAAAAAATAATGAAGTAAGCTCTGTGTGATTCAGTTATTGTTGAAAACATGTTGCACTTTGAGAAGAAATGACTCAGGAGGAAGGTTATTGTGCCAGGCAGGGATGGCTGGAATTATTCTAGCAAAGGCGGTCATGTTTATCACCTGTGAAAAGTATGGCTTTGTGTAGTCTCACCTGAGGTTATTTCAATGTGTGTTCCTGCCCTAGGAACTTTTCATCCTCCAGGTGAGCGTCTTCCTTGTCTCGGAGCCAAGTTCTCTATGTGCACTTCCTCCAGTACCCTCCCCTCCCTACCTTCCCCCCTCCACCCAGGTCCATTCAAGAAAATGTAGAAATCATTCATTTATTGACTTAAAGCAGTGGTACTAAGTTAATGGAAGTATATGAAATTATTAATAATTGTATGTTGAATTAAAAGTTTTGCCCTCATCTAAGAGTTCTGCTTTTACTCACAGTGAAATAAAACATTCATGTTTATATATAAGTTGATGAAGTCAAGTGTATTTCTCATATCCTGGGAAATGATACTCCCATCCTCTTGGAGGAGCCAGATGAGAACCAAAAAGTGGCACTTAATGGGCAAGATCCTGTTTTCCTTAGAATAGGAATTGTCCTTAAATGCCAAGATAAACTTAAGCAACCTTGATTTCTATTGTCCTTTGTTTTCTTTCTTTCCCAAACCCATTTCCATTGAATGATTTCCTTACCTTTTCTTTCACCTTGAGGAAAACTTCTCTCTATAAACCATGTGAGATTTGCTGAAGGAAATACATTCCTCAGTGAGCAGGTAAATGTTCTCTGGGTGTAAATACAAGACACAGGAAGAATTATTTGCAAGTTTAGGAGAAAGGAATACCCATTATATCTCCACTAACTCTCACAAAAGGTAAATTGGCAGAAAACATTTTCTCCACTTTTAACAATGCCATGTTTGAAGAGGTTGTGTGAAAACTTGAACTACAAATAGAATTTCTCTTTATAAAGATGTTATAACTTAATAGCTAGAATCCAAGACAATACTGGTGTTGCAAATCTGAATTATTGGTTTTATAAAAGGAAAATCACAGCTCTGCAAAGGCAGAATAAAATAGTAGTAAATGGAAATGAAAAGATAGAAGGAAGACGCTATAACAGGCAGAGACCAGAGAAGTATATTCTATTAGAATAGATGCTATACTTTGGTTATTTTCATTTCCCAAATAATATAATATAGAGAGTGGTCTCAGGGTTTGGACAGGTTCAAGCCTCAAACTAATGAGAGGGCATGGTCCTTTTGTGGCAAAGCCACATGGCTTGAAGGACAAAGCCATCCCAGCACAATTATAGCCAAAGATTATAATTGTAAGCTTGACGTTAAGGTCTGAACCTGTGGTCCCAGGTAGCAGAGTGATGTAGGTTATAGGAGGTGTAGCAAATACTGTTAAAACAAAGCTTGATGGAGTTCAGGTGCATGTAATTGAGTAGATTCAAAACCTTTGAGAACATTGTAAACATCTTGACCATGCCCTTACTTTGCCTTGTGGAATCTGGCTATAAATTAAAGATTCAGCTTGCAGGCTATGGCACTGTCTCTCCATTGAAGAGCAGCATCCATCTAGCCCCTGCTTGTCTGTCTTCTTTAATCTTTCCCCGGCTGCCCCCCCCCCCACCTTCACTCCTGGCCATGCTGAGCAAGGCACAATATAAAATGTTATTTGTAGCAGTGGCCACAGCAACCCTTTACTATAAATATCTCACTTTTGACTTATAGAGAGTTTTCCTAATTCATTTTATTATCTTAATTCTATAGTGTAGGAAAGATACACTTTATTATTGTCACTTGACAGGTGGGAAAAGAATCACAGACTAGCTAAAGATTGTGGGATGTAGTGGATAGCACAAATTGGGAACTATGTTACCTAAATCCCAATCCAAAATATCTCCTGGTAATATATAATATTGAAATAAGAGAGAAATAGAAGAACAAAACTAAAAAGTTTAGAGTTAAGATTAGTTATATTTTATTTTCAACACTGTGTTTGTTCTTTGTGAGATAGTGGTTTCTTCAATAGCTTGGTGAAAATATCCAGTAAGACTTATTGGATCCTCATTATTTTATCTGAGATACTGAGAAATAATAATTCCATTTACAATAATAATAATTCCATTTACAATAATAATAATTCCATTTACTTGCTTTCTCATCAAGAGATGTGCGTAGTTTTACATATTACCAACCCTTGATTTTAGTTCTCAAATATTTCCCAATTGATGAATATACTAGTTAATTAATAAAGAACCGTTAGCTGTATATGATGCTCAGTATGCCAATTTCCCCACAGACTAGTTAGCCCCAAAGAATCTGAACCTTCTACAGAGTTGAGAACATTTAAACATATTGTTGAGAAACCACATTTAAACATATTAAGTTACATTTCTCTGGTGAGATCCTACTGAGGTGCAGTGTAGTATACTTCAGGGTGTCACTACAAAAATCTCAAGAAAATATGTAAAACTTTCAGAGGAATCTATTTGTTGTATATCCAAAAATCTATGTATTCTGTATCAAACATTGCAACTCCCATTTTTCCACTCATTCAACACTTGACAGTGGGGATACATGCAGCAGCAAGAATGCAGATCTGTGAAATTGCTTCACTTTCTATCCTAAAAATTCAAAAGTAGCCCTAACTGGTTTGGCTCAGTGGATAGAGGATTGGCCTTCGGACTAAAGGGTCCCAGGTTTGATTTTGGTCAAGGACATGTACCTTGGTTTTGGTCTCATCCCTAGTAGGGGATGTGAAGGAGGCAGCTGATCAATGTTTCTCTCTTATCAATATTTCTAACTATATCTCTCCCTCTCTGTAAAAAAAAATCAATAAAATATATTTAAAAAAATCAAAAGTAAAATAGGTCCCTAGAACATATTCCTGTTAAGTAAAGAAAAAAAAATCAGTTTATTTAATCCAATAAAATGCCAAAGATTGATGATTATCTCTATGATGTAAAAGTTATATTAAATGAAGTATTATTATGTCAACTAGAGGCCGGGTGCATGAAATTCATGCATGGTGGGGGAGGTTCCTCAGCCTGGCCTGCACCCTCTCCAATCTAGGACCCCTCAAAGGATGTCCCACTGCCTTTCACAATTCAGGATTGCTGGCTCCTAACTGCTCTCCTACCTGACTGCCTGATTGCCCTTAACCTCTCTGCCTACCTACCTGATGGCCTCTAATTGCTTCCCTCCTGGCCTGATTGCCCCTTACTGTTCCCCTGCTTGTCTGATCACCCCAAACCATCTCTGTCTCACCCCACACTCAGGAACCAGGATTCCCTCCTCTGGCCAGTTGCAAACACTTGGGACCTGGGCTTCCCTTCCTCTGGCCAGCCACAGGTACCCAGAATCCAAGCAGGCTTCATCTGGGCTGGCCACAGCCACAGGGGACCATGGGCAGGCAGTTTCACCCAGGCCCAGGCTACAGGCATTTGGAACCATGGGGCGGATGGCTTGTCCCTCTCCTGGGCTCCAGGTGCAGGCACTGGCACCTGAGACCATGGGGCAGAGGCTTGTCCCTTTCCTGGGCTGGGCCGCGGGTGCAAGTGCAGCTTCTGGCACCTGGGACTGTGGGCTGAGTGGCTTGTCCCTCTCCCAAGCCCCAGGCACAGGTGTAGCCACATGGGGTGGGCAGCTTGTCCTGCTCCTGAGCTGCAGCCTGGCTGGTCCCCATTTCTCTCTCCCCAATGTTGAGTGTCTGAGCAGTTAAGGTATGATGGCATGAGGGCATGACAATGTGAGGGTGTGATGACCATTTGCATATTAGCTCTTTATTATATAGGTTACCTTTAACCACTCTTATGATTCATTTCCTCCATGCTCAGTTAACCCATAAAAAGTCAATCATGTGATAATATCAATAACAAGTGGTGGTTCCATTATTTTTTAAAGAAAATTTCTTGTCAACTTAAAAAAATGTTTAAAGATTTACTCTTGTGGATTCTCTGAATTCAGATTTTATTGAATGATTTAGACTTCAAATATTCTATACCACCTCCAGACTGTATCGCAAGATTTTGTTTAGGAATATAGATAGTTCTTATCCTAAAAATCCTCCCAGTCTCTCTAAAACAGTAGACTAAAGTAATTGAAATTGAATATCTTAGAAAACATGAGCAGATATGGTTTTCCTGAGCAAACAGAACTGTCTTTATTTAGAAACTTCTACTTGGTCCAAATGAGTAAGAAGAAAACAACATGTTAAATTAAAAAAGAAGAAGAAGTAAATATTCACAAAAGTCTACATGCACACACATACAAGCACACAGAGACCTGTTTCTCTACTCGAAATTAAATCATTCGCTCACTCTTTGTGTGTCTGTTGCCTCAGCGAGACAAGCCAAATCATTGATTTCCCCAACACTTTATTCTAAGTCCACCTGGAATAAGTTAGCACTAGCACAAAGAATTGTGTAAAAAGTGCCAAATGTATTTGAAAATTTCTGTAGGCGTTCAGAGAAGAGTGGAATCTGAAAGTAGCTTAGAGAACAAAGCTGAATTTTGTGGACTGGGAAGAGATGAGCCCAGACTACAGCTGGTCTCTGTTGGAAAGTAGTGGGGAATTCACAAAGCTGGGTGGACGGAATGGGTTTCTAGGCCAGGTGTGAGCTGGGAACATTGTCCTGGAAGCAGAGGGAAGTCAGTGGAGAGTTGGAGTATTATGGGATTGAGGAGTCAGGAGAAATAGATCTAAATCTGGCTGTAAGACTGACTGTTTCCTTATTTCCAAAGTTGAAATTCTGAAATGGTGACCATTTGTCAGTTAACCCACAATTAGTTTCCCTAAATTTGGACAAAATCTTTTTCTAAAGTGCTTTGCAAAGAATCACTTTGAAAACATTTAGCTTTTTAATCTAGAAAAAAAAAAAAACCTTAAAAAAATTCCCTGTCTTTATCAACTCTACATTCCTATCTGGAGTCTTCCTCTCCACCCTCACCCCCTTCTTTTCCATTTGGAATTTTACTCTCAGGCTCTACTTGTTTTTCACTCTGCCTATTTCTATTTTCCCCCCTATTACTCAATTGTTTTCTAACTGTTTCTTTTTGGCAGATTTTTTTCTTAAATCTATACATGCATATTCACTTATTTATAATCTGTATGAAAATGTATTTTTTTTTTTTGCTTAAATTGTAATTATCCTTTTATTCTACTCCAACTGAGAAAAGGAACTAATCACATTTCTACTTTTCCAATTCTAGTTACATAATATAATAAAAAGAAAATCCATTTTTTTCTCTCACTTGGCTATATTTATTTGAACTGGGGTGTTTTCTTTTATTCCCCTTTCTGTAAGTTCTTTGGCTTTTTACTTGTTGAATTTACATCTATAGTTTATAAACCAAAATGAGATTCTTGGTCTGACAATTGGGCAAAACATTTGGAACCTCAGATGCCCTTGAGGCATGTGGTTTCTGCTCACATTCACTCCTTTTCTTTAAATCTCCTTGGCTTGAAAGCTAGATGATCTAGTCATCTGGAAACGGAACTCCAACATGTAGGTGCTGGATTTGCTCTTTAACTACATGCGATTTGCCAGGAACATCATTTTAGTGCTGGAAGGGGCGGAGACAAAGTTTGCATTTGTGTCTGTGTTGCAGAAAAACCCACAGGCAGGGACACACCCATTTGGGAACAAGGCTCCTCTGAAAGTGGGAGGGAATAGGAACTGGAGGTACCTCCTCTGGGGCAGGAGTCAGCTAATAACTAACTATTCAAGGCACTCAGAGCACTCACCCTGCGAGGGAGCCTCTGGAATCAAGACCA